ATTGTTTTTTAATTGTTTATATAATATTTAGAAAGCCTTAGCTATAATTCTATTTAAAATTTATAAAAGTTCAAAAAATTTAAAATTTAATAACTATGAGTTTTTTGTTGTGGAAGCAAACATTTGTTTATCATTGATTAAAAATAGAAACGATTGCTTGAATTAAATTTGGAACAAACAATTACATTTTACAGCGAGTCATAAAAAATTGAATATGAATATACAAATACTGAACACAAAATATTTATTAGATTCCTTTTAACAACGTGGCTAAGTCTTAATATATTATTCACATATGTCTGATATACATTTCATGTTCGTGAATAGGTTTTATAAGCATAGAGTATTTTTAAAGAACTTTAATTTATCAAATATTGGTAGTTTGTTTCTTGCTAACAATATTTTTTTTAATCACGAAGAAAAAATATTCTGTTTTTTTTTCTCTGAAGGTAAGAATTTATTAATAAATTTATCTTTTTTTACATGTATAATGCTCATAGGTACGCACTCTTCACATAACATGTGTTGTCACCTCTTGGGCTACGGTACGTGTCTAATTGTTTGAAGACCTCAGTCGTAAGTCCTCTTACTTAAAATGGACGAATACACTTAACATTCATTAACACATTCATTTACACTGAAAAAATGGGAGTGGTCAAAACTACCCTAACATGGTAAAATTTATTGCCCGAAAATTTAATGCTATGAGAACACCAAAATTACGATATTTTTTACAGAAGCAATTTGGTAATGATTTTGTTAAAATTAACAATAAAATAGTGTTTTATAATATACAATAAAATTTGGTAAATATGATGAAATTGGGTAATTTTGATGCCTAGTAATATCAATTTACCTTTAATAATCATGATACCCAGAAAATGGCATAAAACCATTTTTTCGAATAAATTTACTTTTCGGTTTTCACAGTTTTTACTAAATATGAGATAATAAAAACTATAATTTTGAAAACGAGAATGAACCGTTACCATATGAACGAAAAAAATATGAAATGAATGGTTTAAAGATCGCATATTTTGGGTTTAATAACCTAAACTGTTTTTTTTTTACCAGAAATATTTGTACTATACAGGACGATAATTTTCCAGAAAATTTCTTCGCGTATTTCTTAGTTATGAAACGTGAATGAAAATTTAAATACAAAAATAAAAATAAATAAATAAATGAAATCCTTTAAGAAATTGTATTTAGACAGATGTTAAAATATATTAAAATTTGATCATTTAAAGAAAAAATGAAATTTGTACTTTCGTTTTTATTCTGTGTCTCATATTCAAAGCAAAAATAAACGTTTTCTTGTCTTTCGTCACACAATTTATAAATACGTCAGTTGATAAAATATTCTTTACATGGCAATTTTCAATAAATATTCTGTTAAAGTACTAATTTTTTGCTATGAGAGATCATTATTGCTTTTTATCATTTTTTGCTTTTTGAAAATTCATATTAAATTGAGAATCATATTAAGTAATATTAATCATATTAAATTAGAATGGAAAATGCTATTAATTTGCTTTTTGAGAAAAAAGTAAAGCTAAAAAATAGATTTAGAAAAAGTTAGATAAATTCACGCTATGAATAAATTTTAAAATAAAACACGTTAATTTTGTTGAATTAAAGGTAATGACTAGTCGAATGAAGAAATTTCCATATTAAGTTTAAAAAAATAGTATTAAATTAAAAAAACGTTTTGTCATAACTTTTGCCAAATTCATTTACATTCCTTAAAATGCGTTTAAAAAAGAAAATATCCAATTCTTCCATGAAAAAACTATTTGTAATGATTTTGTTAAATTGAGATTGTTAGAAATAATTATTTTATCAAAATACGCAATAAAAAAATATTTTAAAAGTTAGTAAACATCCATCATAACCGCAATCAGATACAATCAATAAGTATTTTTTTCCCTAACAAACAACTCCACATTTCCTTTTGGTTAAAAATTTGCTTGCTTTCAGGTAAGCAAATTTTTCACACATAAAAACACACGTTTAACAAAAATACGTGAAAGAATTTCTATAAATAAGTGTTATTTCAACAAGCGGTCAACACTATTTGTGAAGGAAACATTAAAGGCATTTGCCTTTCCTTCTAATTCCTCTAAAACGAAAATTTCGCCCACTTTTTACTAAACGATGTTGGCATGAAATTCACGATACATCCTCATTTGGTTAGCGTTTGGCGAAATGTGTTTTTAGATCGAACGCATTTATTTCTTTGCGCTCCGGTTGGCATTTAATTAATGGAAAATAGAAAAATTTAATAGAAGTTGGACTCAGGAAGTTCTTTTAAACATAAAAGAAAATTCCAGGAAACAAAAGATGATTTATTTCCATCTAATAGCGTTTATGGTGAGAAAAGGTTGCATTTGCCTAAATTTGAATGGAATTTTTTTATTGAGGGATGTGTTAGAATTGCTTATAACTCATAAGGAAGAAATTTTTCTTATAATATTTATTTAATTTATAGTTTTTTTTTATGTAAATTTAAGGAAATAGGCAAAACATTTTAGTGCATTATCGCATTTGCAGACACTAAAAATTTTTTATTAATATTCTTAATTAATTTCACTTGTACATGATTTTTCATTAAGAGAAATTTTAGAACCGAACCAAATTGGAGAAAAAAAACATTTTAATACCTTAACTGCGAAAAATTAGATGTTATGAAATTTTCTTTGACGATATAAGTTTTTCAGCAAAGAAAAAGTTCGACATTCCTGCGTCACGTCATCAAAGAATATATAAGTGGGCTCAAATTATATATTCTTTGTCCTCAGTGCATTCTAGGAGTTCTCCAGCAACTTTTTAAATTGATTTTAAGGCCTTTTGTATATTAGGGGAACCAAAAACAAAATAAGAGACATATTTACTTTTCAAATTTTATGTAATATTTAAAATTTATATGAAGTAATATTTTGCAAAATATTAAGGCATTCAAAAGAAAAACTGTAAATCAAAGTAAATATTTACTTATTTTCACTAAAGTACATTTATAGTTTAAGCTTGAATTTAATAATAAAGCATGTCAACCTGGTTTTTAATAATAGAATTTTGTTTGACTTTTTGGATAATTTTAAATATTAACCATTTATATCACATCACTTTCTATTTAAAAAATGTGCTAATAATTATATTACATTACTTTAATCAAAAATAATTAAAATATACATAATAAAATTAAACATTTATTGAAAAAAAATGTTTCTTGCATTCCTATTCTGAAAATATTCAAACATTTAGTTTCAACCAACTCAATTCAATTAATTCATTTCAATTCAAAAATTTCAAGTTTAGTATAATTCCTGAAACAAACAAGTGCAATTTTGTAAAAAACAACAAATTGAAATCAAATTCCACAGATTACTTGAATATCATCATATAGTTGAAAAAAGTTGAACAATATGTGGTACGAGTATTGTTACATAATTGGAACAAGTCCGAAGTCGTTCTTCAAAACTCTCTAGTGAAAATACATATTCTTTTAGTTAACTATGTTGTCAGTTTTATTATTAAAATGTAAGACATTGGTAAAATGGTAAATTAGACGTTAAAGCTATTGATAAAAACAGCATTGGGTTGAACTAAAAAATATCTATGTAAAAATTTGAAATTAGTTAAAACTTATTTTTTCGTCGATGAAATTAACAAACACATATAAAAATAATATTTAAAAGCAAATAAATGTTTGTGTTTGTCAAAAGGAGATCTTATATTTATCTAATTTATCTTTAAAAAAATTGGAACTGGAAAGTAAGATGTAAGTAGAAATATAAGATATAAGTATATAAGATATAAGTATATAAAATATAAGATATAATAAAGATATAAGTAGAAATTTTATTTCATTTGATTAAGTTTCCCTAGCTAATTTCTTTAAAAACCAAGAACGTAAAAATCTTTATTATTAAAGAGATATGAAATAATATTGAATTAAGTAAAATTGGCGTACAACGCATAAATAATTACTAAAACGATTAAAACAAATTAAAATATTTATGATAAAAAATGTTACTTATGATGATAATATAAAATAAAATTTTTTACTTTACAGTGCAAGGTGTCCTAAGAGGTATTAATAATTGTTCATAAAATAATTGTAACCATTAGGGTTAATTATATGACTGTTTGATTACATTTTTAAACCTTATAATTTTTATGCTTTCAGAAGTTATAGATTTTCTTTATTTCCAAATTATCAAACTTAAAATTAAGCACTTGAAATAATTAAAATTAAGCTTAATAAATAAAGGTTTCAACAAAAGTGATACCTTAGATAAAGGTTTCAAAAGGTTATAAAACGCTAACATCCTTCAATTTTTATATTAAAATTGAACTCCAATATTTTTGATTAACTTACAACCTGTTGGTTAATAAATTATAACTCCAAAAGTGGTAAGACATTGCCTTATGAATGTCTTATTACAATTGAGGAAAAATTATTTCCCGAAAGTGTATAAGGTATTCATTTATTGAGAAAAAATTATTACACGAAAGGTGCTTATTTTAGAAAGAATAAGTATTTTATTCTAATATGTCTTACTTCATATTGAGAATAACAAAATACCATAAAATTGCTTAATTGAAAAAGAAAATTGTTATACATAAATAATTTTTTTTATTGAGATTAAATTATTTATCAAAATTTGCCTTATTTTATAAAACATAAACTATAACCTAAAATATTTTTTTAACAAAAAACACTATTTTATAATAATTTTCCTGAATCTTTTATTTTATAAAAAAACACACAATTCTAAAATACGCTTTAAATTTTGTATTTGAAGTTTCGAGAGAAGAAAAAGCATATTAAAACACATTTTACATAAAAAGTTTTCATGCTGAAATAATTATAATTTTTGATTACTTTGCGTATTTTTCCTAATTTTTTTCTATAAAAGGTGTCAACTTATTCATAGTATTATTTAACTGTAGAAATGAATTTTTCTTTTCAATAATTAAAATTTAATTTATTTCAGCCTTACTTGCTGGTAAAGTAAGCACCGACCAAGGAATTCAAAGGACGCAGAATGTGGTATAAATATTTATTTATTTATAAAATGACTGTGTTTACTCTGATCCTATGCACTTTATAGTCACGAATTATAGTATGTATTAAAAAAAAGGGGTTAATAACAATCTTTACTTATTTGGTATATGGAAAAAGTGATGCTAAAATGCTCAAGAAATTATTTTACACTTATTTCTGTCATGCACAATTTTATTTCCTCACAATCTGCAAAAATGATAAAGAGAGATTGCTATTATATATATACCACAGAATATACATATTTAATTCAGTTCTGAATATATTATAAAAAGATTTCCCTAAAATGAAGTTGTTCGCAGAATAAATAACACTTTATTGGTTTGCAATTTCCATCTGCTCATGAATGCATAAAAAAACAACAACAGTGATTAATTCAAATAGAAATGATCATGTTTATGTACAATGGGATATTTTGAATGTTGTAACTGGAAACAACCAGATGAAAACAAGACTACAAATGCTGATGATGAAGTTAATGTATAAAAATCATATTCTTATGAATTTTCGGGATACTTTATAATTTTCATGATTTCGTTTATTCAATAGTTTCAATAAATAAATAAATTTAAATTAAACATGCTATGCCAATCTAATAATAGAGCTTTCGAAATACCTATGCATACTGATATCAAATAATTTTTAGAAATTGTATAGCGATAAATAAAACTACATAAAAATAGAATTACAGCATTACTATTGGAATAAGATTGCAGGATAATGTTTTTAAAATTTACCGGTCGCATTTACAAATTCAAATATTAAAAAAATAATATTTATAAATTTAAGGACTTTTGCTTAAGAATTAACTTAAAGGCTTTTTGCTGTTTTATTAAGAAAGCATTTAGAAATGATTAAATAAATATTTTAAAAGTTAATAAATACTAATTATTAAATAATTACAATTCAATATTTTTATGGTTAAATAATTCAAAAACCTATTCAAATAAGATTATACTTAAAAAATAATTAATGAAAATTATTTATAATTTAATTAACAAGTATTATTGATTAATTTGATTTGCAATGAGTTGATAAAAAATGTGTTGAAAAATTTGATAAAAAAATGTGTTGGCAATGTGTGTTGAGGGAATAATAATTTGTATTGATTGGTTTGACTAAATTATTGATTGGGTTAACTAAAGAAAAATATATCTGAAATTTTTATTAATGGAAACATTTATCGAATGCACCTTGGCAAAAATTGGATCATCCGATTTCGTACAAAAAATACAAATTAGTGATTTATAGTAATTACTTAAGCAATGAAAATTTTACAGATTATTTCACTTGCTTTAATGATCATTTAAGGTTTTTATTAGATAAAGAAGAGCCTTCTCATTAATAATAATTGTATTAAGCAAATTTAATAAAAAATAACTGGAATTTCGCTATTTTAAAAATTATCTCAGAGTAATAAGTTTGGAAAAAACGACTGGTAACACTTAGTAAATTGAGGGTGAAATTATCAACAAATTAGTTTTTTTTAAAATTTATTACTTACAGACGTGATTAAATATGTGCGAGTCGTAATATCGTGTTAAAAAACATAGCAATTTTAAATAAATGCGGATATGCATAAGCTATTAAGGTTAAATTTGTGCATCAAAAAGTGATTACTCAATTCGATATTCGCGCTCGATTCAATATTCACGAAGAGCTTTATCTCACTAAAAAATACCAGGACACGTGGAAATTTGTAGAATGAGTTTTCGGAAAAACGGTCAAAACAGGGCGTGGATTTACTATGATATCGGTGCAAATCGCGACCAATTTTTTATATATATACTGAGCCGGTTGCCATTTCTGAGACTACTGTGTGATAATGTGATACCCATTTCCCATGTAATAGTCGCCCGTTGATCCAGAGTTCATTTCTTATCATTTTTCACTTTTCCTTATATTTTTTAAATTAAAAATAAGCATATGCTTTTGAGAGTCGTGATTTGAAAAAAAAAGACATTTTGCGAAATTAAGATTTCAATAATTACATTAAATTTTTACTAACAAATAATTTCACGTTATCGTCTTTCGCTTACAAATTAAGACTTATCGCATACTCTGGCAGTTTACATGATTCATACCATGCTTGAAATCAAGAGGATTTTTCAAAAATTAAAGAAGCTATATATTTTAATGACAGTAAGTGATTAACTCCAGTTTGAGCAGCTGATTGTTTAGCAAAAACAAGAGTCATAGTTATAAACTAACACTTTGCCTTTTTCAAAAGATTGATTTTTTTAAATTTAAAAGGTTTAATGTTTGGAATTGAACTAATTCATATTAAATGACTTCCATGTCAATAAATAAAAGTAATAAAATCAGAGCAGATTTGGAGCTTTTTAAACAATCATCATATATTTTCTCTCAAGATTAGATTCTATTGAAAATAAATGTGAGAATATGGGACCATGAGAATGAGGAATGCATGTTTTTTATTTCAAAATTATTTATTGAAATTTTTAGGAATATTTAGAAATATAAATCTCTACTTATTTCCTACAGTGTGCGACTCAGAATTTGTAAATAATTTTGAGAGAAAAAATAAAAATTGATTTTATATAATGACTCTATGTAATTGCATTTGAATAAAAATCTGTTAGTTTATTTAAATTAGGTTTTTTTCTCGTAGTATAGAAAATTGCTCTGAAATATATAAAATGAATTTTAAAAATTGTATGCTTTTAAATACATTGTTTTAAAGTATTAATTGCTGAAAAAGTATTTATAAAATTTAATCTTTTATTAATCCTCATTTTTAATAAACAAATTTATAAGTAAAAAATAATGCTTAAATTTTGTTTTATTTAATTTTCATATTATTGATTTTAGCTATCACTATCGCGAAGCTTCACTATCATATCATCAAAGCCGATCGAACCGAAGAATATATCGTCAATAAAACATGATACACCGTTCCAAAGCAAATCACCCAAAGCTAATGACATCGCTCGCTGGTCCATTCGATAAGCCAAAAAAACAAACGTGTAGGCTCGTAATGTCCATCAGGAGCTGTAAACGCTGCCTTTCGTGAGGATTCTTCATCCATTGCTATCTGATTATATCCTTGACATGCATCAAGGATGCAGAATAAATTAAAACCAGACAGTCTTTCAAGCAAATCATCGATGCAGGGTAATGGAAATTTATCCTTAATAGTTTGTGAATTTAAATGTCTGTAATCAATCACCATACGATGATCACCAGTTTTCTTAGATACAAGCAAAACAGGGCTACTGTATTCAGAAGAACTGTCACGAATAACACCCTGATCTTTCAATTCTTGAACGATTTCTCTTAAAACTTGTCTCTCGTAGTTCGAAGCTCGATAGGGTGAACGAGAAACAGGTTTACTACCCGGTGTCTCAACGATACGCATTACAGTATTATTAATGCATCCTAGTTCATTTTTAAAGCAAAACATAGCCTAAATTCATTTAACAAATTGCATAAAATTTGCTGTTGTTCCTTATTTATTGATGGTCCAATTTTAACACATTCTCTATCGATAGGATTTCGCACAATTTCTTTTGCTAATAAAACGGCTGGGGTTGAATCTGCATTTTCTTTAACCATTGAATTGTAACTATTTTCAGATACCCAATTTCCTCGCAAGATAACACGATTTTTCTTTAATTGTAATTTTACGCTACTAGGATTCACGACTGGCACTTGGGATTTACCATCGTGGATAGCAAACGTAGCATCCTTGTGCACTGAAAACAGTTACCAATTGAACTGTACGCGGTTCAATCACGAACTTTTCGAGAGTCTTCAACACAACCCTATCAGGCATTTCATTAATCTGGAAATCATGCAAAAAATCCAACTCTTCCACATTAACTAACTTGGACCTGCCTTGATTTCTAACCATTATTATCTCGGGTGAGTCAATGATGTCGTTCCCGATGAGAACATCCGGGCCTTCAAATGTATCATCAGTCACTACATAAAACAGAACTTCCTTCAGCTTTACCCTGTCTATTGTCACATTAAGTATGATAATTCCTAGTGACTCCCTTACACCTCCAATACCTCGAATTCGTGTAACTATATTTTTATGAATATTTTTATTAAACGTTTGTGCAAAACTATATTTTAACATAGATATATCAGCAGCGGTATCCATAAGAGCACTTGTATTTACTTCTTCTATGATAATATTCTTCGTTGTATTATTACTGGAACTGGGTAAAAACGAAACTGCATTGACTAATGGGAAAGACGCTCTCTTTGGACATTCCTTTGTACCATGTCCTTCTGTTTTGCAGGCAGTACAAAACTTTGGGCGTTCTGGCTTTGCACAATCACGGGCAAAATGGCCGGTATCATAACAATTGTAGCAAACAGTTTGATTATTAGTTGTACTTCGACTTGGCTCTGTTTGTTTACCTTCGGCGATATTTTCTTCTTTCAAAAACTTATTGTTACTATATTTATTATTATACTGTATATGATTCTTAAAAACATCTTTGAGTTCAATAAATTCATCTACCTTTTCAGCTAATGTATAAGGTAAAATTATATGGGCACACTGATCCAAGTAACGTTCTCGTATATCTGGCGGCACCCGAGCTTTCATTCGATCTGTGATGATCAGGTCTTTTAAACTCTCAAAACTACTTATTTTAAGTCCTGCAGTTCACCCATTAAAATACATTTCAAGCTCGTGGTAATATTCTTTCCATGACTTTCCATCAGTATTCTCATGAGAATAAAAAAGTTGTCTAAATTTTTCAGGACACTTAAGTAGTTGTCAAAAAAAGTTGTCTAAATTTTGTGTAGCACTTAAGCAAAAGAGATTTAACATAGTCATAATTTTCTGACTGTTCGTCTGGTTCTCTCATTATCATTTGGACAATTTCACTTGGTAACTGGTTAATTAAACATGCCATCCACAATGTACTTGGTATTTGTACTCTTTTCATTACTCTCTCGAAATGTACTAAATAAAGGCTGCTATCCTCATTACTCGTAGAAAACTTTCTCAGTTGTGACTGCCAATCAACTTTTCGCGACGATGTTATTACTTCAGTTTCGACTACTTCTGAAGTTTTAGCAGCAATATCTAACTTCTTGAGTTCCAATTCATGTTCCCGATCGGCTTTTTCTTTTTCCAATGCATGTTGGCGATCGGCTTTTTCTTTTTCTTTCTCTTCTTGACGAAGGCGCTCGGCGTCTTCAACCAAATTTTTTAACATTCCCCGAACCATTTCTTCATCGTATTTCTCGCTATTCAATATTAACTTTCTCAAGTCAGGGATTTTCAAAGTAGTAGACTTAACATCTTCAGATAACTCATTAGCTAATTAACGTAACTGATCTTTACGAAGTCGCGATAAAAATGCCATTTTAAACTCAAAACTCAAAATTAATTACAGTTGCCTGTTTATCCCACTTCTGATAATGTAAGAAACAACTTTTAAAAGAAAAACAAAACAAACGCAGATCATTTACTGTTTACTTTTATTAAAATTTACGCACACCGTTATTCTAAAAACTCAAAATCTATATCGTACACAAGAACTGCTGTTGCCAAAACATGGAATACCAAATACTGCTGTTGTCAAAATATGGAATACTAAATATGTAATCAGAATATAATTAATGTTCACGTTCACAATTTTACAAAAGAGATACTAAGATTTATGCCGAGTACTTAAAAAGGATGATAGCAAAAAGGGTAAAAATAGTAATAATTCACATGCAATACTATTGAGACTGTCAAAAACATGATAATAAAAAACTGCTAAAGTGATAAATAAAATTAGTTAGATTTAAAAGTTGTATAACATTGATATGAATGAAACAATATGTTAAAGGATTTTTGTGTTGTTGTCCGGGAAGGAAATAAAATTAAAAAAAATAAACACAAACTCTGATGATAAAGATGAGACACTTTGCTAGTACCAATATAATTTTTTTTTATAAATCTCTACCGTATCTGCAAATTTTTAAAGTCAAGTGTAAGCTTTAAAATAATTTCCAATATACTCATTTTGTTCATTATTTGTAGAAATAACTTTTTTCATCAATTAATATTATCTTATTATCAGCGATTACTTTTTTATGTGTAATTTTCCTTTTAAAACAATGATTACTTTCTCATTTTTTCTTTTTATCATTTTAAATTCAACACATGTTTAAAGATTAATTTACGAAGAACTTTTATAATTTCCCTTTTTTTATTCATTATATGGTTTCTGTCATTTTTATTGCTTTTTCTTCATTACATGACTATGGTTCATTAAATTAATTGCTTATATTTTTCATATGACATTAACAACAAACAGCATTACTTTAACAATTAACTTTGGTTTACTATTTCATTCAATATCGTCATTGATCTTTAGTTAATCATTAATGCTGTGTTGTCCACATTGTATGCTTGTTAGATTGTAATGCAATAAAAAATAATGTTGCAATAATATTAAGTGGAATTGATCAAGTATCTTAGCATTGCTTTGCATTTTACAAATCCTAGTTAATTAGTTAAAAAGGGTTATAAAATTTCAACGGTACTTGCTCATTTTATTGTTCAAATCAGATTTAATAATCATTAGTTTTTAAATGCATTATTATTATCTTCCTTGAGATTTCTCTACAATCATTTTTTAATGAAAGGTTTAATGTAACATGTAGGACAAAGCATGCAATCTAAAAACATTTTTAACAGTAAATTTCTTAAGTTAACACGCACTCTTGAAAATGAATTGAGAAAAAGTCAATTGCAACAGTTATTTTTCCTAAAAAAAACTTGTGTCTTTTAGACATAAAAAATTATTAAAAAATTGTTTTTTTTTTTAAAATGAAACTTTGTTAAAATTTTTAAATGAAATTTTATTAAAATTTTTAAATGAACTCTGTAATGCAATCAATTTGCGAAATTTCCAACCATATCAAATTCCAATATTTTTCAAAGTTTCTGCATTTTAAATCTCATGACTTACAATTTACTCTTAAATTGATTACTAGCAGGCATGTTTTGCTTATAAAACTTAGAAGAATAAGTAATTTATTCTACGTTTCACATAAAAACAATTTTTATAGATTGAACACTTAGGAACTGAAAGTAAAGAACTTATAGATTAATTTCTAAGTAATGTTTCGTACTCAGACAAGTTTTACAGTTACCAAAAATTAAATCCGAATTTTTAAAAAAAATGGTTACAATGGTAATTATGATTAGGTTAAAGTGACTGATTATACCAATAGAATCTAGAATCTATGAAACCATGACTTTATCATATATATAAAGATTTTGGGACCATTTAATTGAATTGGTTTAAATTTTAATATAGTAATCTGTTTATTGTTAATAAACAAAAATATTTACGCGCAGTTTATCAAAATTCTATAAGTTATTTGCTTTATGATACCATATAAGGCTTGTTCATGCAGTACGTTAATTAATTTACTTTCACTTATAAATTTACTTAACCAAATAATAACTAAAAATGTTCTACTTTAGATTATTTAAAGAACATTTACTTTGCCATTTTTACCTATTTAGAGATAGCCCTAAGCAAAAAAGAATCAATTTACACGGAATTGAAATATTAATAGATGCGAGTTTTAAATTTTATACAATCAAATTGGTTGATTTAATTCAATTAAAACTCTTTTTAAATCAATTCTGACTAGAAATTTATTAATCAATTTCTAACAGTAAACTGACTCTTCTTTTGATGCTAATTTATAATCAAATCAATATAATTAATACGTCTCAATAATCAGCGCCTCAAAATAACATAATTATATTTATTTATTAAGCAGTTCTAAATTATGAGTAAATGATACCTGGCATTTTATACGATTTTTTAATTAATTGTTATCCCAACACTACCTTACTGTAAATTGCTAATTGCACATACCTTCCTACTTTGGTTTTAGTACCCAGCTCCATTTTCCGGGCTCTATCTTTTAGCAGCCACTGTGACTGCCTCTTCCACATTAATAGTGCACCAGAACACTTAGTTTACAACTTACAATAACTTACATTATTTATTAAGTTCTGACTAACTATGTAATTGTTTTTGTTATTGATAAACAAATTTGTAGTTGAGAAAGTAAATATAACTTTAATATCAATCATAAGTCGATTTGAAGTTATTATTTTACGTTATGCAAGGCAATCAATTGTTAAAGGCCATCTTCTGTATAATAAAAATCAGACATGTGTTGCACTTTAACAAATCAGATACTATTTTGTAGTGTTTTCTGCAAATTAAAATTTTTTCTATAGGTAAAATTTTGTAATGATGAAAATAATTCGTTTAGAATCACTAATTTGAACAATACAAATTTTAAAAAAGTTTCTTAATTTTTTCAAACTGCTTAAATTTAGTCGAATTTCTAATCAGTAAAGATTTCGAATAAAATATTTTAAATTTTAATCTTAGTTGCGTATTNTCCGGGCTCTATCTTTTAGCAGCCACTGTGACTGCCTCTTCCACATTAATAGTGCACCAGAACACTTAGTTTACAACTTACAATAACTTACATTATTTATTAAGTTCTGACTAACTATGTAATTGTTTTTGTTATTGATAAACAAATTTGTAGTTGAGAAAGTAAATATAACTTTAATATCAATCATAAGTCGATTTGAAGTATTAATTATTTTACATTATGCAAGGCAATCAATTGTTAAAGGCCATCTTTTGTTTAATAAAAACCAGACATGTGTTGTACTTTAACGAATCAGATACTATTTTGTATTGTTTTCTGCAAATTAAAATTTCTTCCATAGGTAAAATTTTGTAATGATGAAAATAATTCGTTTGGAATCACTAATTTGAAACAATACAAATTTTAAAAAAGTTTCTTAATTTTTTCAAACTGCTTAAATTTAGTCGAATTTCTAATCAGTAAAGATTTCGAATAAAATATTTTAAATTTTAATCTTAATTGCGTATTCTGAAAACAAGAAGAAATAAATCTTTATTATTTTCTGCTAATAATATATATTCCAATATATATCTGCTACCAATGAATATTTCTTTACTTTGAAATAATTATGAAGTTCAATAATAATCAAATTCTATAATGTATAACAATTAATAAAAAATTTAACATCTTAACTTTTTAAAAAGTCGTTCATTGATCTTTTTATTCTATGAAAAAGTATCATTTTCTCTGTTCTACTCTAGGTTAGGAGTTAGGGCTATAGAATTTACAGATGGAAATGGTTGCTTTTAACCTGTTTCCCTCTTAATTCCTAAGAATGTAATCTTCCTGTCGCATGTAATCAACAGCTTTAAATTTTTATGTTTTATACAGCCTTTTTTCCTTTTAAACCTTTTATTGTTTTATTAAGAATAAATATATACAAGAATTAATATTGACATTTACATTTAAAAATGTAATTTACTCAAAATAATGAATGTTGTTATTTTTAACTACTTCTATTTACATAAAAACTTTTCACCCTATTCTCAAGAGAAATAAGTTTATTTTTATAAATTTTCAAAATTTATATAGTATATCAACTACACTCCGGATGAAATTCCGGATGAAATTGCGGTATAAAATATTGGCATTTTGATCCGTAAATTCCAATATATCGTAATATCCATTTTTACAGTAAAATTATTATATTATAATTTTTACTGTATTTATTTAATTAAAATGATTCGGTGATGTTGCGGTAATTATGATAGTGAAATCTATGGTATATCAGATTTTTTTGTTCCATAGCGTGTTCCGGTAAAAATGGATTTCACGGTGAAAAGTACCGGCACCCTGAGTGTGGGTACTTTTTTCCAGTATTCAATCCGGAATCTCTTACAGTGAACTTTCTCATGTGATATTGTTTTTAATTACTACACCTTATATTGTTTCAGAAATTAGATATAAATTTTTTCGGAACATTAACATAAAAATTTAAATTAAAGGCAACAGTTCAAACGTCAGCCAATGGAATACAGACCGCAGACCGGCGAATGAGTTTAGAAGACTTCTTCCTGAATCGAAACTCCCAGCAAGTGGGTTCTCCTGATCAGCAAGGTCAGCAGTATGATCAGCCTATTGCAGCAGCCCAACAGACAAATCCTAATTCCGTTGTCTTTGTAAGGGATGCCAATATTCCCAACGCTGCAGGGAATATCGTATCCAGACTGATATTAGCAAGAAGAATGCTTCGATTGACAAGGCTTATGAGAAGACTTAGAATTGTTCCAAGGATCTTTGGATTAGGACTGAGAAGACCTTTACGGCAGGTAAACTTTTGGTAAACTCTGCGGAAGACAGGTAGAAGAAGTAGTTTTTTTTAACCTCTAATTAATTTATAAAAGTGAAGTATTAAGCTAATCATGTAATAGTCCATATCATGTATAGTCCGCAAGCATTCGAGCGGTTCGAAAAAGTAACCTCAAATGTGCTAATTATTTAGTGGGAAAGATATTTTAAGTTACGAAATCAGAAACAAAATCGCTGTATTTAAAATTCAATTTCTCAGGAACTAATTGACCAATTTCGTTCAAGTTTTGTATTTCGAGTGTAAAATTAAATTCTTTAAAATAATGATGAATAGCTTCAATGTAGCGTTTTTTCTGAAATTTTTTTGGTTGTACGGGTGTAATGTGCAGTGTACAAAGAAAAAAGGAATTACCCTGAATAACTTTTGATGCAAAAAAATTGGAGTTAGGCGTACTGGGACAGGACTTAATCATAATGATTCGAGGTTTGAGTTTGAATATGCACAATTTGGGAAATATTGTCCCAATAGTTTGGTTAAGGAAGATGTCCAAAATCTTAATATTATTTTTTGCGTATTTCGCTATAATTGTTGAACTTGTTAAGTGAATTGATGAATCTTTGCACACAATTATAAAATTTTCTTATCCAGAGATAGTTTCATGCAAAAAATAATTTTTCATAAGTATTTATTATTTTATTTAATAATAGTCGAAAAAAATTGAATTTTAAGGTATATTATTTTTTACATAATTTTAAAGAATGCAATTTTACATAACAAAATGCAACATTTGTATAAAATTGATTGAATAGTTCTTGAGAATGAATTTCGAAAAGAGGATTTTTTACGATATTTCATCACATTGGTTTAATTTTACATTCAATTTATCCACATTATAGTTCCAAAAAGTAACACATTAGAGCAAAAACATGGTTCAAACCTGATATATATCAAAGTTTTAGTACACTTATATTCTTATTATCATGCAATTAATTGAAATTTAATGATTTGATAGTTATTATAGACCTTAATTTTCGGTTAACTTTTCCTATTATCAAAAATTTAATTAAGTTAAAGAACAACTCTTCATAATACCATCCTCTTGTAAACATTTATATAATTCTGTATTGAGACATTGATTATACCTGTAATATGATTTTATGATATATTTGTTACTTATATATGCTTTTATTTTATCGCTCTGACTTTTAATGCACTTAAGGTAATAATTTTATTGTCATATGTTTCAAAATTTAAATAAAAAAAATCCGAAAGTGTATTGATAAACTAGTTACAAGTAATTTGTTGGTAAAAAATTGATTCGAACATATTTTTACTTAAACATATTCCTTTTTTTATCTATTGCATGGCAATATAAGTACCATTTCTATAAAAAAATACTCTATTGTACTTGTTTTTGTTTTAAATGTATGGAAAAAGTATATAAAGAGTAATAAAATAAGTTAGGCAGAACTTTAATAATCACTTAGCCATTAATAATGCTAATAATCAATAATATTGATTTTTAAATTATTTATTTTATAATATGTTTTGATTATTATTTTTAATCCAACTTATTACATTATTATAAATAGTTCAAAAAGAGCAAACAATTGGCAAAACAAGACACCATGAGAAAATCTTGTTTCTTTAGAATTAAGAAAATATACGTGTATAAGAAATTTTTATAGCTCTTATTCTATAAGGATTGCACCAGACTATTTATATTAGTCTGAAAATATTCATACTATAAAACGAAAAATGCAAAAAAAAGAAGGAAAATATATATTGAATAATCTTACATTAATAAATATAAAACTTTTAGTTTGACTCTAGAATTGTTGTGATGCAACATTTAATATTAACTTAAATAAATGCATGTATCGAACTGTGTATAATTTAGCCATTAAATTTAGTTACGAATGGTTAGATAACAAATGTACAAATTTAGAAGCAGCTGTGGGAGATTTTCTATGGAACAAATCTGAGAAATATGAGACATTTTTAAATTATTTTATAAGTCTATTGCTTTTAATTATTATTTATTTCAGTGACATATACTTTATTAGCATTAAATATTATACAATTGCTCTACTTTTATAAATTTATTCACTGCTGTCATAAGGTATAAGTGAATTCATATGCATGAAAATTAATAATGCTGAGGTGAATTATAAATAATTTTATATTTGTGGCATTGTAGTTTGGTAAATAATTTTGAATTTTAAGAAACTTAGGACAAGAAATATAGTAATATGTAAAGGATATACAATATAATTACTTTATTTTAGTAAACAATAAGAAATAAAAGCAAGCATATCATTTTAGGTAATTAAAGTAATCTAAAATTGGAAATTTAAAAACAGTGTAATAAAAAGCATAGAACAAAAGAATATAATTTTTTATGTTTCAAGAAACTTAATAATAAAAATCGTTGGCTTTAATATTTGTTTTACATAAAACTTCAATCTTAATTTCTTATTTAAGTTCAGCTGCAATCAATCTAAATGATGTTTCTGTAACCAAATCATACGGATAAACAAGGAAATTCTCAATTGTTTTTATTTCATACTGCTTTGGATACGTACTTTGTACGTTGTTCTTACATCTTTAGCATGTACGTATGTCATAGTAAGTTGCTAATTCTTTTAAACCATTATTTAACATATGCTTTAAAAACAAAATTCTTGTATGTTATGCATGTACATGAAAGTTTTATTTCAAGAAATGATTGTAAATTGTACATGTTAGAATGATAGTTTTAGCAAACTAATATTAAAACATAGCAATATATAATTCAAAAAATATCAAGAAACAAAATATTCAGTTGCATTTATAAAACGTATTAGCACTTTACTACCTTTTCTCACTGAAGTGAAATGGGATATCTACTCATTTTCAGAGTATCACTTTAATGAAGATTTAAATAAGTTCTTTAAAAATCTATCAAAGTCAGGTTAAATAAGAAAGTAGAGATGATGAAATAGGATATCTACTCATTTTCAGAGTATCATTTTAATGAAGATTTAAATAAGTTCTTTAAAAATCTATCAAAGTCAGGTTAAATTAAAAAGTAGAGATGATGAAATAGGATATCTACTCATTTTCAGAGTATCACTTTAATGAAGATTTAAATAAGTTCTTTAAAAATCTATCAAAGTCAGGTTAAATAAAAAAGTNAAAAGTAACACATTAGAGCAGAAACATGGCTCAAACGTGATATCTATCAAAGGTTTAGTACACTTATATTCGTATTATCATGCAATTAATTGAAATTTAATGATTTGATAGTTATTATTGACCTTAATTTTCGGTTAACTTTTCCTAGTATCAAAAATTTAATTAAGTTAAAGAACAACTCTTCATAATACCCTCCTCTCGTAAACATTTGTATAATTCTGTATTGAGACATTGATTATACCTGTAATATGATTTTATGATATATTTGTAACTTATATATGTTTTTATTTTATCACTAAGACTTTTAATGCACCTAAGGTAATAATTTTACTGTTGTATGTTTCAAAATTTAAATAAAAAAATCTGTATTTTAATATTACAAGAAACTGTATTGATAAATTAGTTACAATATAAGAAATTTGTTGGTAAAAAACTGATTCAAGCATATTTTTACTTAAACATATTCTGTTTTTTATCTATTGCATGGCAATATAAGTACCATTTCTATAAAAAATACTCTACTGTTAAATATTTTTGTTTTAAATGTCTTGAAAAAGTAATGAAATAAGTTAGGCAGAACTTTAATAATCACTTAACCATTAATAATGCTACTAATCAATAATATTGATTTTTTAATTATTGATTTTATAATACGTTTTGATTATTATTTTTAAAACTTATTGTATTATTATTAATAGTTCAATAAGAGCAAACAAGTGGCAAAACAAGACCCAATGAGAAACTCTTGTTTCTTTAGAATTAAGAAAATATACACGCATAAGAAATTTTTATAGTTCTTATTCTATAAGGATTGTATCTGACTATTTATATTAGTCGGAAAATATTCATACTATGAAATGAAAAATGCAAAAAAAATATATATTGAATAATCTTACATTCATAAATATAAAACTTTTTAAAAATCTAAAATTGTTGTGATGCAACATTTAATAATAACTTAAATAAAAAAATGCATCGAATTGTGTATAATTTAGCCATTAAATTAAGCTACGAATGCTCAGATAACAAACGTACAAATTTGGAAGCATCTATGGGAGATTTTCTATGGAACAAATCTGAGGAATATGAGACACTTTTAAATTATTTTATAAGTCTATTGCTTTTAATTAATATTATTTTATATTTCAGTGATATATACTTAATATTATTTAATTGCTCTACTTTCATAAATCTATTCTTTGCTGTCATAAGGTATAAGTGAATTCATATGCATGAAAATTAATAATGCTGGGGTGAATTATAAATAATTTTATATCTGTGACATTGTAGTTTGGTAAATAATTTTGCATTTTAACAAAATTAGGACAATAAATATGGTAATATGTAAAGGATATACAATATAATTATTTCATTTTAGTAAACGATAAAAAATAAAAGCAAGTATATTATTTTAGGCAATTAAAGTAATTTAAAATTGGAAATTTAAAAACAGTGTAATAAAAAACATAAAACAAAAGAATATACTTTTTTATGTTTCAAGAAACTTAATAATAAAAATCGTTGGCATTAATATTTGTTTTACATAAATTTCAATCTTAATTTCTTATTTAAGTTCAGCTGCAATCAATCTAAATGATGCTTCTGCAACCAAATCATACGGATAGACAAGGAAATTCTTATTGTTTTTATTTCATACTGCTTCGCCTACGTACTTTGCACGTTGTTCGGGCATCTTAAGTTGTATGTACGTATGTCACAGTAAGTCGCTAATTCTTTCAAACCATTATTTGACATATGTTTCAAAAACAAAATTCTTGTATGTTATGCATGTGTACATGAAAGTTTTATTTCAAGAAATGATTGTACATTGTACATGTTGGAATGATAGTTTTAGCAAACTATTATTAAAACATAGCAATATATAATTTTTAAGAAAAATGAAGAAATAAAATATTCAGTTGCATTTATAAAACGTATTAGCACTTTACTACCCTTTTTCACTGAAATGAAATAGGATATCTACTCATTTTCAGAGTATCACTTTAATGAAGATTTAAATAAGTTCTTAAAAAATCTATCAAAGTCAGGTTAAATAAAAAAAGTGGAGATGCTATTCTAGGTCAAATGCATCGCTAGAAAATGACCTAAAGACAATATCAATAGAGCATAAATGTTTTACTAAGGGGACATTGAAAATAGCTTCGAATTGCTTGCTGATGTGTGAGCAACAAAAGATGAAGTCATTCACAAATTTCAGGGTCCCATGCAGGGATATGCGTGTTTAAAAAGAAATTCTTTGAGTTTTTATGAATTAAACAATTCCCGGTCCATTTGTTTTAAGAAATGGTAAATTCAGTTTCTAACAAAGTAGGCCACATTGTACACAAATCTTTTTTTTTACTCTTCTTTTCTTGGGCTAATTTTATGAGATTATTTTTAGTTTTATTTAAACAGAAACATTTATATTTTCAATTATATTTTTAATTGAAAGAAATCATGGCAATTTCTATAACAATTGTTCAATAAATATGCATACTATTATTTTTATATTAGTAACGGATTTTATGAAAAAATCATCATTTTTTTTCTGTCTCACTTGAATGATTTTTTAATCATTATAAATTAGTTAAAACAATGGAAGTAAAATTTCTCGAGTGGATTCGATTTCGAATTTCGATTAATAATATTGCTTTTATAATTTTTGCATTATAATTAATAACTGTATTTTAATATTTATGTGCTATTTATAACTTATTAATCATGAGTTTTTTAAAATTATAATTTTCTTGTAACTGAAACACCTGTTTTAGAGTAATGAAATTTGTCAACCTAAGAAAATTTGTTTTCTGGAATTGTAAATATAAACATCAAATACTACATTTCGAGAGCTTTATCTTAACTCAAATTTTTACAGCTGAAGTAATTTTAAAAATTTTGTAAAATTTATTGATATTTATGTTTAATTATCACGAAATTATTATTCACGAATATTTGGAATATGAATTTGAAGGAAATTTTAATTTTATATTTGAACTGAAACATTGAATATAACACTGAAAGTATATCGAGAATCGAGTCTTGAAAAATTGTGTAATCTTCAAAAAATGGTTTGAATTCCTTTAGAAAAAAACAACTCAGTTCAAAGTTTTAAAAAGGAGAATGGAATGTAGCTTTTCATTCTTTCTAATTTCAAATACGATTTTTCCTTTTTTCAAAAGAAAAAAAAATGAAATTTCTAACGTTCTGAAATCATGGCATTAGATGCATGTGGATTAATGCACTGAATAGTCGCACTTCCTTGGAGTCATGGAAATAAGCTTTATGTAATTATAAACTAAAAAACTGAAACTGTAATTTGTAAACTATGCAGAGTGTTCTGTAATGATCACCCTTAATATTATATATATATATATATATATATATATATATATATATATATATATNGGACTGTACCCAAATCTTTTTTTTTTTTTTACTCTTCTTTTCTTGGGCTAATTTTATGAGATTATTTGTAGTTTTATTTAAATAGAAACATTTCAATTTTAAATTATATTTTTAATTGAAAGAAATCATGTCAATTTCTATAACAATTGTTCAATAAATATTTATACTATTATTTTTATATTAGTAGCGGATTTTATGAGAAAATCATCATATTTTTTTCTGTCTCACTTGAATGATATTTTAATCATTATAAATTAGTTAAAACAATGGAAGTAAAATTTTTCGAATGGATTCAATTAATTCGAATGAATTCGATTTCGAATTTCGATTAATAATATTACTTTTATAATTTTATAATTTTTGCATTATAATTAATAACTGTATTTTAACATTTATAACTTATTAATCATGTGTTTTTTAAAATTATAATTTTCTTGTAACAGACGCATCTGTTTTAGAGTAATGAAATTTGTCAACTTAGGAAAATTGGTTTTCTAGAATTGTAATTATAAACATCAAATACTATATTTCGAAAGCTTTATCTTAACTCAAATTTTTACAGCTGAAGTAATTTTATAAATTTTGTAAAATTTGTTGATATTTATGTTTTTATAATTATATTTATTAACGTCATTTTTAAACCAATTAAACCTGTTTCAGTATAATGGGAAATTAGCAAAAGTTTACTAGAGTTGAAAGTGCTTTTATTATCATGAAATAATATTTGGAATATGAATTTGAAGAAAATTTAAATTTTATATTTGAACTGTAACACTGAATTTAACACCGAAAGTATATCGGGAATCGAGTCATTGTTTCCTGAAAAGTTGTATAATCTTCAAAAAATGGTTCGAATTCCTTTAGAAAAAAATAACCTAGTTCAAAGTTTTAAAAATGATAATAGAATGTAGCTTTTCATTCTTTTTAATTTTAAATATAATTTTTCCTTTTTTCATAAAAAGAAAAAATTAAATTTCTAACGTTTTGAAATCATGGCATTGGATGGATGTATGTGGAATAATGCACAGAATAGTCGCACTTCCTTGGCGTCATAGAAATAAGCTTTTTGTAATTATAAACTAAAACTGTAATTTGCAAACTATACAGAGTGTTCTGTAATGATCACACTTAATATATATTATCAGAATTCTTGTCAAAAATGAAGACCCAAAAGACACATGGATTCTCAACTTACTATTTAAGCGAGAAATACTATCGAAATCTGACGAATGATAACTAAGGAAGATACAAAAGGTTTCTCTGTTGTTTCACATGAGAAACAGGGTGGTAATGAAGCACGATTATTGCACTGAGAAAATTGAAAGGGTCAAAACTACCAGAATATAGTAAAATTTTCCAAGTTTCTTGATAACATCAAAATGTTCGGAAGTTTTCTGGAAGCGCTTTGGTAATGATTTTGGTAAAATTAACAATAAAGCATGGTATTATAATAAGTGAAAAAAATTGGTAAATGTGGTAAAATTTGCTAATTTTATCGCTATATCCTAGAGCATGACATAAAAATCATTTCGGTAAAATTTTCTTTTCAATTTTGTATATTTTATTAAGTGTGCCGTAATAAGAACTACACAATTTGTGAACACCAGAGTTTCTGGTAAGCCATAAACCACAGGGACGGAAAAGCTACCAAATGAATGTTTTAAATACCGTGTACGTTGGTTTTATTAACCACAAAAACATTCTTTTTAACCAGAGATTTTATTACCGTACAGTACTATAATTTTCACCTGATTTTTTTTTCTCCACGTAGAAATAACCTCAAAATTCAATAAAATAAAATTGATTATGATGTTTCATGCATGTGCCAGTTGGAATTTGCCAGAATTTAATTGCTTTTTTATTTTTCTCCCAATGTATATAATTTTTGCCTTCATATTTCCAGAAATATATATAGAGGGTAACTAATACTGAACTACCTGCATATTCATATACAGTGAAATCTGAATTAGTTGACCACTGGTGGTGCATTGCTTTAGATAGGTGTTCAACTTATAGAAAAGAATGAGTTGTTATTTATCTTCATTTATCTAATCATGTTATTCCTATATATCTTCAATATTTATTTTTTATGAGCAATTCGAACATATATATATATATTTACCTTGTTATTCGCATATTTCTTTAAAATCATTAATCAATATATAACTAAATATAATTAATTTTTTAACATAACCTAAAAATTTTATTTAACAAGCATCCAACATATTTTACGAAATTCAATTTATTAATTGCTAATGTGAATTATCATCTGGAGCTTAAATTTAATATTAAACTAATATTTTTTTATAAGAAATAAATAGTTAATTTTTTTAGTGATATATGCTAAGTACTTGTTATGAATAATTTCTTTAAATATTAGCTCACAAGAATATGTGATTAGAAAATTTAACATTATAATCTTTTCATCATTTTAAAATTTATTTTGTTACATATACTTACAGACATATTGTAAATAAACCTTTTAATAGTTATTATTTATAAACATCTCAGAAAGGGTTTTAAATTAGCTTTTAGTACTATTCTGGAAGTTCAATAAAATTCTAATATATAGCCTAACAGCATTAAAAATTTCCTGAAAAAAATCTTTTTAGTTCTTCCTATCAAAGGGGATTCAATAGTATTTTCAATAGTATTTTCAAATAAATTTGACCCATTTCAGCGGTCAATATACAAGATAGACAAATTAGAAAGTTATAATTTTTGCCCTCTCATTACGTAAGATAAATTCGATTCCTGACAATGGAGATCAACTTAGACATATTTCACTGCATTTAGTTTCATAACGGTGTCCTTTTTATTTTAGGGTGTACTTCATTATTTGATTTTTATTTTATATTTTTACATTTTAGGCCACTCAGGCTGGTGGGCCGTTAACATTACTGACCAACCGGATTGGCGAAGCGTATAACGGAGATTATGATCCAAGAGATTTTGTGTTTGGAAATAAAGGTTTTAATTATAACAATACTAAAGATATTTTTGAAAAAGGTCAAAGTGATAGCCAATCTTATTCTAAAGAAAACAATCCGAATTACCAAAATGGTGTTGGTGCAACTTCATATAACTCACCACCACAAATAACTTATTCAAATCAACCCCACTTACCTCTAGGATATTTGCCAAGTGGAATTAAATCTGAGAGTGAAAATTTAGGCAAATCATCATCTGATGTAAATATAAACGAGCAGAATAATTTTAGAAATTTACAGCAATATCACCAACTTTTAAAAAACTTACAACAGCTCCAAGAGCTCCAGAAAAGTTTCTATTCGCCTAATCAAAATGTTAAGGCCAATACTCAATTAGAAAAAAATCCTCTAGAAATTTCATCTCTCCATCAGAATCCGAGACAGCCACAGTATCAAAGCAGCCAGGAAAGTTTGGGCGACCTTTATTTAGATAAACCACTATCGGCTGATGAACTACAACAATTGCAATTTTTAAATGAAATGCTTTCTCGGATGACGCGTGAACAACAAATACAATTAATTCACCAAATTCAGCAGTATCGTGATCAGCAAATTCAGGAGTTACAAGAACAGAAAATTAAGCAACAAATTCAGCAATTACAAGAGCAACAGCACCAAGAGGACTTAAAACTTAAATCAGTGCAGCACCATTCCATTCCAGGATTTCAGCAAACAAACGTAGGTAATTCTTATGAGCAGCCCCAACTTCAAAGTATTCAGCAAATTATTGGTTTTAATCAGCAAAATAATAAGCCTTTGCAAAGTCAAGTTTCCTTAACAAACCCTCAACAAAAGTTCCAAGATATCCAAACGACAAACCACGGTTATTCAAATAACCGCGCGCCACTAGGTTTCAATTCATTATTTGATAGCCAGCCACAATCTTTAAATTCTGAAGAAAAACAAATTCCCATCGTAAACCATCAGCAAGCAAGTATTCCACAGCTTCAACATGCGCACCAAGGAATTTCTAATGAACATCTCCAGAACAGTATCAAGAGTTTGATAGACTTTCATCAACAAGTTCATGCCCCACAACAAAATCAATTTACTTTATCCAACCAAAATCAGAATGCATTGCACGGATTACAGCACTCTAATCAACAGACTTCGCCCAACCAGCAACATCAAGGAATAGAACAACCTCAACAGCATACTTTGTCCAATCAACAACATGAGAATTTTCAAAGATTACAAAATTCTATTCAACAACTTTTGTCTAATCAACAGCTTCCCGGAATTCAAGGACTGCAACAGTCTAATCAAGACCAGCTTTACAAGGAATTAAGTGATTATAATCAGCAACAACAAAACATTCATAAACCAAACCACGAAAATGAATTTAGTATAGAAAAGCTTGGCAATGAACAGCAAGCAAAAAACCTAGGATCAACTTCCTTTGTGGCTAATCCAGGAACTTCTTTATCGACTGGAGGGAATGTTATTGGAGTCGGTGTAAATGTGGGTATAAAACCAGCTGTAGATGTAGCTATTACAAAACCTACTGCTCAATCAATTCAACCTTTCCCTCAGTTACATAATCCCATTGCAGTTAAACCCATTGCCGCACCTCCAGTTGTTGAGCCCCTTGTACCAGTTGGCTTTCTGCCCAAGCCAATACTTAACCTTAACGGTAGATTATTTTTAGGAGCAGAAGTAGGGAAAGACGTTAAGGTTAATGCAGGAATTGGACGATAATAACAAATTTAATATATATTTACAGCCATACAGTCAAACATTTTGGCTGAAAAAAAAATTACATTGAAGTCTAATTCAGCTTATTGCTGATATTGCCATAAGATTGAAAAGGGTTTGATTATTTAGTAACAGACTGAAGTTGTCTAGAAGAAGTGAATTGTGAGTCTCAAAATGTCAAACGTGAAGGGGAGAAACTGTAAATGAAGCATAGCTAAGAAAAAATAGATTAAGAAACATATTTATTTTGGAATCCTTACACTATTTTACTAAACATTTTCATTCTTGATATCTCATTTTGAAACATAAAAATGTTTGCATTTTGATATTGAAATAAATACTGTAAATTAAAGATTATTAATGAATTATAGAATACTGTTGTAAAATTTATGTAATTTGTATAGTTTCAAATTTTTTAAATATTTAGTTGATTTTAAAAATTAGCTTTAGATTATTAAGAATTAATTTAGAAATTTTTTAAAAATAGTAACTTTTTTTGTTATTTGAATTGATAATCGAAAGAAGCGGAAAATATCTGAACAATCTTTTTAAAAATAAATGGAAAAGTGCCTTTTTTTGAAGTTTGGAGAGATTTGTTTCTTAACATTATTACTTAAACGTTTGTATCCCAGATATAGAAAACAGAAAACTAAAATTTGTAAATAACGTAATGGCAACTATATGCCTATTGGTGATTATGCAATGAAGTGTTGATATATCTTTATATGTTTTGCTCATACCTACTTTTTTACAATTTTACATAGTAGAATTTAACATAGAATTACAAGTATTTGTTGCGCAATTAAAGTCTTTTAAGACGAAATTACTAATTCTTAAAGACTACTAGTATTTACACGTGAATGTTAAAGTTAATGACACGTGCATGTTAAAGTTAATATTAAAGTTAATGGTAACATGTTAATGTTAAAATTAATGAACAGTGAAGATAAATAACATGATGGGTCTTGAAAGAAAGCTAAAATATTTCATGTCATTTAAATTCATTTAAATTCATAAAATATAATATTTTTATCGACTTACTGAATGCTAAAGTGGTACACAATTTTGTAACAAAAATAACAAGGTATACTAAACTATTAAACCTTAAAAAATAACTTTAATATTGTTACATGAGAAAAGCGTTATAGCTTTGAATGCTTAAATGCGCTCAGCCAATCCTTGTTTGATATTGAAAAAATGTAGTTCAGTTTTGAATGAAACTTAAACTCATTATCATATTGTTTAACTATATATAATTTTGGTTATTTTTTTTTTGTAAATACTGTAAAGCATATTTTTTTTGTAGAAAATATATTTTTGTATTCATTCTAATGTATGGAATGCTGATTCATTGTAAATAAATTTTATTTATAAAAATGTTCTCTTTCATTTTCTAATACACAAATATTTATTTTTAAAAAAAAATAAATGAAGAATATAGATATAATAAATACAAAATAAAGAGAAATGTAGTAACATCTTGATACAATTATCGATAAATTCGTAAGTTGTCACAAATATTTCACAAATATAGAAGAATATTATCAACAGATTTCGATGTGCAATATAAAAAACTGAATTATGTATTATAAACTGCATGATATTTCCCAAAGATAGTGTTGTGATATGAAAATATCGATGCAATTTTTACATTACAGAATTAACAAACACAAACAAAAAAGATAATTAAATTTTTTAAAAAATGTTCATAAAAATACTTTTAAATTTTTAAATTACACTGTTAATACTTTGGTAATTAGCAATTTATAAATTTATTTATAATTTATGCTCCCTAATTAAATAATCAACTCAAGTTTAGAAATCCATAAGTAATTTAAGTTTGTAAATTATTTATGTTTATAAATTTGTAAATGTTTGTTCATAAATTCATAAATGTTATCTTATTTTACTTTAAAAATTCACTTTTTTGTTATGCTTCTGATATAGTACTTTGACTATTTAAATGCCCTTCTCAATAAAAATTACCTCATAAAATAAAGAATTCTAACCAGATCATGCATCTAAACTTTGAAATTTGTAGATTTATCTTTACAGCTTTGTGAGTTTTATACGCTTGAGGCATTCAAACAAGATCAATATTGGAACAGGTATATTGCAATTTTATTAATTAAAGTATGCATGGTAATTATAAAACTTATTTTACTTCGATCGAATACTAAACAATGTATGTTTAAATCTTAATCTACAAAGTTACAACTATATATGATAAATTTTAACTTTTTCTATATTCTTAGTAATTTTTTATGTGAATTTTAAGTTCTAAAAATTGAAATGTTAGTTAATTGTTAATTAAGTTGTCCATAAAGTATTTTCATAGTTATACTTGCAATTATTTTCAAGGTAGCAAAAATGGGTGAATATTTTATCATTGAGTAGATTGACAATTATTTTGCCTTTGAAAAATTTTTAAAAACTTTTTTTGCAATTTTCACACAATAGATTAGTATTTATTATGACATTCTACAAGATTATTTTAATATTTCCAATAACAATACTTTTATTAACGTTTTATTATCATCCAAGATACTATAATATATCTTAGATGTAAATCCTTAAGAAAAACCTTATTTCACTTGAAATATTCCTTAACACATAAGGAACAACAAAAATTTCATAAAAGACTACTCAATGACTGTTTCTGAGGAGAAAGAGTAAAAGCAAAAGTTGATTAAAAGAAGTAGATACTTATGAAACAGGAAAATATACTTTTCCAACACAGTAATTTAAATGATATATGGGTTAATATTAAGTTCCACCACTAATTACTAAAGATAAGACGTTCCTGGTAAACTTGGACAAATTTGAAAAATTAAATATTTAAGTATAGAGAAAACTTATCATCGATAAAGTATGATTTGATGATATGTGTGATTACTTTAAACAAAAAATTTGGCCCGTATGCATTATGAAGTACCAGCACTTTAGGTACATTATCCGTAATATCCATGTTAACGTGAAATTCATTTTTACCTTAAAATATTAATATATTACACCTTAATTCTTACAGTACTATTTATTTAATTAGAGTGATTCAGTGTTTTTGAGGTAATTTTACTTCAAAAAATGCGGAAGATTAAGATCGAGAAGAAAAAAAATAGTATTTTAAATTAAATATTTTGATTTGAAATTTATAGCACGAAAGGAAATTTTAAAAACAATCAAAATTCTGGATAAAGTTTTAAAATATTCGGGGCTTTTTTGTGTATATTGCAAGAGAGCTGAACATATCATAATTCTAATTAACTATATAACTACTAACTACTATAAATAAATTATGCCATATGTTTGATTCTCCATTAGAAATATTTTTCCTCTAAAATAAATTGTTAGTTGTTCTTAGCCCAGCTGCATCCTCTGCACTGTTCGATATTTTTCAGAAAAAAAAAAATTGCAAAATGACAATTAATTTTATTATTTTCACTATATTCAATCAAAACAGTCAGATAACAATAAAAAAGATGGTATTCAAACTGTTGACTATTTGAAAAATCGTTTATTGACCGTTTTCACCTAATACAGATAAACAACCAGAATTTTATTTGCACCAACTAGACCCACCTTAGGAAGTCACTTAGTTCCTTGCAGCTGGTTGCATGCTGTAGGCGAAAGACTTAATCTGTCAATATCATGAACGTAGGTGCGAATCTCAGCTTTAAACTACTTATTAATAATATAAATAACTTAGATTTGCTCCATTTCTACTACGTATGAAAAGTTTTCAGCTCCTGCACTCATCAATTGGTGGCCCTGAACTATTGAAACATGAAACTCTCATTCACACGTAGTCGGCAGCGACACAAAGCTGCTTAAGTCAAAAAAGTCTAGTATTTCCAATCTCTCTCGATAGATGGCATCACCAGATGAATTATTTGAGCCACATTCCACTGCTCATTTTACAAAACGAAACTCAACCACAACTTAATTTAAATGTTCACTTCCTAATGAAAAGCCTAACATAACCTAATTCTATTGTCCAGTTAAATTTCATGTTTACGGTTTTAAAACCATGACAGTTGTAAATGATTCCAAACCCGTAAAGGTAAAGAAATGTTGCTAACCGTAAACTTAGAGGTAAATTAGGCAAACAGGCTGCTGTATACTGGCATAAGAACAATATTTATATGGGAAAGACATTAATGAAAGAAAAAACGAGAATTTTCAATCGATAGGAAAATTTAGTATTTAAATTAATGTAATTTATTTCGTAGTTTTTGTTCGCTATGGTAAGGATTCATTGGAAATTTCGGTTTTTAAGTTCTAATTTTTATTACTCATACTTTTAGCAAAAATACAATAAAAAGCAAATTAACCAGAAAAATTGGTTCTTACGCCATACTATGAAGAATCACGTAAAAATTACCTGATTATTCCTTATAGACAGGTAACCATTTACTTAGTGCAATTTAGTTAGTGCTATTTCGTTATTTTAAGGCTTGATGGCGAAAAATTTTTCTTATCTAGAAGGATTCACCACCTTGTCGCTCCTCTACTCAATTCATCATTGTCAATTTCTTCCTAAATCTAAGTATTTCTTCAAAAATACTGAATATTTTGGTTTTTAAGTATGCAATAATTGAAACATTTTGTAAGAATATTTTTTTTAATGTGTTGATCATAACGAAATAGACAATTACCAGGATTTTGAAAATAATCATCCTCAGTTGAAAAAAAAACTACCTAAGGAATAAAGATTGTGAACTCAAAAACAGGAAATAAATGCAAAGTAATTTTACTTGTTCAAGAAACTTATAATAATTCCTATAGGTTGATTTATGAAGGATTTTTATCGCTATTTATTAATTACTTTCTTTTAAGTTTCATTATGAACGCTAAGGTCTGGCAACATGCAATCTCTCTCACTCTCTATTTTTTGCTACTTTTGATTAGCATTTACTCAAGCGCGAGCTTAGATAAAAAAGAAATAAAGATCTCGTGAGGAAAAAAACAATTTTTCTACAACAATTTATGCATGTTAAATATTCAAAGCAAATAAGATGAAAAATACTACTTTTGAACAAATAGAAACAGATTACCTAATTCCAAGTTAACGACCATCAAAATTCAGCTCCTTGTTATTTTGAATCCAATCCAGAAGACAAGGGAACCCTTGGATCAAGCCTTAGATTAAACTAGCCTTCGTAGAGGGCCCCGCACTATTTGCTTTACATGGGGGAGGAAAGCCACAAGACTCCCACAGTTAGCCCAACAGCAAGGGGATTCTAACCCATGATCCATCTACCACTGAAAATATTTAATGTGAGCATTGCGGAC